AACCGGCTCCATGCCCCCGATGAACCAGGAAGACTGGGAATCCGAGTTCGAAAAGTACCGCGCCTCCCCCGAATTCAAGCTCCTCAACCCGCACATGGACCTGGCCGAGTTCAAAAAGATTTACTTCATGGAGTGGTCCCACCGCCTCTGGGGCCGCTTCATCGGAATGTCCTTTGTCCTGCCCACCCTCTACTTCATCGCCCGCCGCCGCGTCACCCCCAAGATGGCCGTCAACCTCTGCGGCATCTCCTGCCTCATCGCCTTCCAGGGCTTCATCGGCTGGTGGATGGTGAAATCCGGCCTCAAGGACGACCTCTTCGCCCCCGGCTCCCACCCGCGCGTCTCCCAGTACCGCCTGACCGCCCACCTCGCCACGGCCTTCGTCTGCTACTCCTGGATGCTCCTGTCCGCCCTCACCGTCTTCCGCACCCGCCGCCTGCTCGCCGACCCCGCCGCCGCCAACAAGGCCCTCGCCGCCCTCCGCAACCCGGCCATCAAGACCTTCCGCCGCCTCTCCTTCGCCCTCGTCGCCCTCGTCTTCACCACCGCCATGTCCGGCGCCCTCGTCGCCGGCCTCGACGCAGGCCTCATCTACAACGAGTTCCCCTACATGGGCCTCGGCCTGACCCCGCCCTCGGGCGAGCTCTGGGACAAGTTCTACTCGCGCAAGGAGGACGGCTCCGACCTCTGGTGGCGCAATATGCTCGAGAACCCTAGCACCGTCCAGCTCGACCACCGCATCCTCGCCATGACCACCCTCTGCTCCATCCTCTCCCTCTTCGCCTACTCCCGCACCCGCCGCGTCGCCGCCGCCCTCCCCGCCAACGTCAAGAAGGGCGTTCTCGGCACCGTCCACCTCGTCCTCATGCAGGCCGCCCTCGGCATCAGCACCCTCATCTACATCGTCCCCGTGCCCTTGGCCGCGGCGCACCAGGCCGGCGCCTTGGCGCTGCTCTCTGGTGCCTTGGTCCTTGGACACCGTCTGCGCGTGCCAAAGTCAACCCTGGCCATGATCCAGAAGCGGATGAAGGCCAAGGCGAAGGCTATCAAGTACAGCAGGCGTTCCTAGGCCCGGGTCCACTCTCCCAATGACTTGCGACTTACTCCCTACAGAGTTACAGTTTTACATTATTTGGTTTAACTGCATTATGGCAGCGACAGCATTTTTTGCATTATGGCAAGTACGATACACACAAAAGCAAGTAGATATGTATAACATTGTAGCAACAACGGATGGACACGGCCAGCCCTTTGAGGCGGTCATTGTGTACCTCGAATCTATCCCATTCAAAAACATTTTGCTCATTTTTCTTTTAATAGAAGCTCAACTCTAGACTATGGAACGTCTGCCGGATATCACTGGGGGCGTACACTTTCTCTTTTTATCTTCTCCGCGTGCGTCACTTGTAGACAATCAGACAGGGCGATTTGTCTTGACATCCGATCCCAGCCATCTTGAGAACTCTCTATTTGTGGGCTGTGATGCATTATTAGCCTCAAATTTTCGCTGCAGCGGAAAGCAGTCAAGACTTACCAATTCCCTCTTCGGGGACAGGCTTGACGCCGACAACCTCGGCCGCGGAGGCCTTCTTCTCACCCTGCTTCTCCTCCTTCATGAAGGGGAAGGCAAGCACCTCACGGATGCTGTAGTTGTCGGTCAAGAACATGACCATTCTGTCAATACCCATACCCCAGCCACCGGTAGGCGGCAGACCGTACTCAAGAGACATGCAGAAGTTCTCGTCAATGAGCTGGGCCTCGTCGTCACCCTGGTCCTTCTGGCGGGCCTGCTCCTCGAAGCGCAGTCTCTGGTCAAAGGGATCGTTCAACTCGGTGTAGGCGTTGACAATCTCCTTCTTGCACACAAAGGCCTCGAAGCGCTCGCACAGACCGGGAATGTCGCGGTGGTACTTGGCGAGAGGGCTCATGACTTGCGGGTGGCCGAAGATGAAGGAGGGGTTGACGCACTGCTCCTCAATGTACTCGCCAACAAGCTTGTCGATCATGCGGGCGTTGGTCAGGGGCGGTGAGCACTCGAGGTTCATCTTCTTGAGGACCTTCTGGAGGAACTCGTTGGTCTCGGCAGTGTGGAGCTGGTCGGCGGGAGGGAACTTCTCGCCTGTGGCCTTCTCGAGCTCGGGAATCATCTCAAAGCGCTTCCAGGGCTTCTCCCAGTTGACCTCGTAGACCTCACCGTGCTGGGTGTGGAACTTGGTCTTGTAGCCGCCAGTGACATGCTTGACAAGGCCGCTCACGAGCTCTTCGGTCAGGTCCATGATGTCATAGACGTCGGCAAAGGCTTGGTAGAACTCGCAGGTGGTGAACTCGGGGTTGTGCGTCAAGTCGATGCCCTCGTTTCTGAATTGACGGCCAAGCTCGTAGACGCGGTGGAGGCCACCGACGACGAGCTCCTTGAGGTAGAGCTCGGGAGCGATTCTCATGAACATTTGCATGTCGAGGTCGTTGTGGTGGGTCTTGAAGGGGGCAGCGGTGGCACCTCCAGCGATGGGACCCATCATAGGCGTCTCGACCTCGATGAAGTCCCTGTCGTCGAAGAAACGTCTGATGTAGGTGACCATCTTGGATCTTGCGATAAGGATCTGGCGGCTCTTGTCGTTCATGATGAGATCAAGGTAACGCTTGCGGTGGCGCTCCTCGTGGTCCTTGAAGCCGTAGTACTCGTCGGGAAGGGTGTGCAGGCAGGGGGTAAGGAGAATGAACTCGGTCGCGAAGATGGAGAGCTCGCCCTCCTCGCCCTTCTCGATCTTGGACTTGGGTGCGGTACGGCCGGGGTATCCAATGATACCAACAATGTCACCTATGCGCGGTCATTATTTCGTGATTCCCACCCAATCAGGAAATTCAATGCTTGCCTCGGCGAAGGTGGACGTGCTGGTCCTCAAATGACGGGCTTCCCTCTGCGACCTCTTGCGCCTGTGCCATAACCTGGACCTTGACGCCCTCGGCACGGATATCGTAGAAGAAGAGCTTGTTGCCGGAGGCACGCTTGTTGTAGATACGAGCGCCCACGCGGACGACCTTCTCCTTGTCATGCTCGCCAGACTTGAGGTGACCAAAGTCCTTGACAAAGTTGCGCAAGTCGTAGTCGGCTGCAACGATGTCAGTATAGAGGTTCAGGGATGAATGTGTTTGCAGATCTCACTGTGGAACTTGTGGGGGTAAGGGTTGGGAGACTTGGTCTCGCGCAGCCTATCGTCATATTGTCAGCCCATACAACCGCTTCTTCGTCTCCGTGGGAAATACGCACTTGTTGATGGCGCGGGATCGGTTCTCGAAGTACTGGCTGGGGTCCAGGTTCTTCTCGTCGGCCTCGGCGTTGCCCTTCTTGGCAGCAGCAGGCTTGGGAGGGGCAGCGGCGGCCTTCGCAGCCTTAGCAGCCTCTCTTTCGCGGGCCTTCTGGCGCTTCTTCAGCTCCGTCTTGGAGACCATCTCGCCGGTGACCTCATCCTTGAGAAGCTTGGCAGTCTCCTCGACCTTGAGGTCCTTGACCTGCTCGGTGGGGGGTTCGGGAGCACTTGAGTCGGCCATGATTGCGGTTTGCTGTGTCCACAAGATGTTTGTCAGGAAACAGAATCTGGGGGAGGGTGTGCGGGGGAATTCCCGTCGTTAAATCAGGGAACGGAGGTTGACTCACCAAATTTGTCTTGCGTCTCGCGATCGAAGTTTTACCAGTCAAAATTATTTAATGCCGGGACGAGGGGCAGCAGTGCATTGGCTACGGCGGGGTAGTGCCATTGACTCATTTGCCCTGACTCACCGCCTTCGATGGAGGGGCAGAGCGACCTGCGGGGGGAGGGGTGCTTTCCCTGCCAGGCGGGCTGTGCCACGATAAGCTCAGCACTGTATTCTCGCACTGCTACCCCTGAGCCCCTGAATGGTGTTCACGATGCTGCAAAAGCGGTCCAATTTGAACTCCAAGCGTGGAAAGGTGGTCGAGGATACTTTCCGTGTTTCCAAAAGCTCTGAGAACCAGAGGTATATCTGTTTCTCTCTGAAGATTGTCTTAATTACAACGATGCGCTGGCGTTCGGCTTGACCTAGCCAGCTGGATGTAATGCCTCGTAGTCAACCCTTCTAAAGAGAATCACAGTGCAACATAGAAGTGAAAACAATTTAAAATGATAGATCAGATTATATGTTCAAGCTTATATTGCATGAAACGTGGTAGTCACTATACGCCAGAGTCGGTCAAACGAGCAGACCCGGCTCAAGTTGCAGGGAAACAAGTCTAAGGGCAACATCTGGACCTGAGGTCGTTGATGATTTGATACCAGAATCAGATAATACAAGCCTATCATGGTCATTGATTTACTATTAGCAGTTCTTGCTTAGGTTATGGCGAAAGATGGGACTGATTTCCAGCTTCTGCACATGAGTTAAGATCTGGACCTGGCAGGTGTTCTGCGCGAACAAGATATGTGTTTGGATCCTAATTAGACCGGACCTTTATACCATAGAACATACAAGCTAGATTTCCTCGACGAGATAGACAGAAACCCAGGAAAGCTAGCTAAGAGACGCATGGCATTCAACCGCATACTTTGCCCATCAACCTCTATGGATCGTCCTCTGGTGAAAATAAACAAATATTGCATGCCACTCCCCAATAATTTCCCCACAGATAAAGAAAGACTGACTAACTTGGCAATTATCAAGTCATGCTATTCAATGGGATTGTATGAGTTCACGGTGAAAGAATGTTCTGCGTGGCCCCCGCCTAATTGAGGATACAATATCACATGCCTCACTCCTTCTATGGAACCTGCCCACCTTGTCCAATGCCTTAATACTGCGTAATCACGATCGGGAAAGTCCCAAAAGCTCAGACCAGGTCTATGATTACCCTCTCTTTGCTCCTGTTCATCTTTGGCAGTTGCTTCCAATCTCAGTATAGACCTTGCGTATATCCATAACATCATCGAAGATCAGTCGACTGGCCCCAATCTCGATATTTAGCAGAATTATCGCAACAGTTCACCATGTCGTCTGGATCATCCCCAGTCAAGAAGGCGGTCATACAAGAAAGCGCGGACAGCAGAGGTCCATCCGAGTTCTCGGAGCGGGAATTCCGTGTACTCGCCATCAAGGCCATCAATCGACTCTTCGGGGCTCGGTAGGTCAACGTTCAGAAGGAATTGTTTCTAGCTTACACAGATTAACATGAGAATACAGCAATGCCCTTATCCGCAGCTTCAACGCTTTCTTTCGCCTCCTCAGCAGGCTGAACATTGTCGCGCGCCCCTTGAGTGTCCATAGCACCCCGGAGACCTAGAGAGCCCATTGGGAGGAGCTCAGAGACGCCATCGTGGAAGTCTACGATCTAGCCGACAATTTGCTTGATTTGACCTTGCAAACCGAGGAGTACATCGACACTACAGGATACGAGTCGCTCTTGGTGGGGACAAACACTTTCCTCGCGGCCATGAAGGTCCCTCTTCAAGCGCTACATGATACTCTAGTGGGCAAGGGGAAAGGGGTGGCAAAGTCTAAATAGACACTTCGTGAGGAGAACGTGAGGCACAATCGATGGATCCGGATACAATCACTCCAGGAAAGACACACACGAGCATTGTATGAGAAAGGAGACTGCGTTAGTCACCGAAACGATACAAAAAGTGGGCAATTATTTCGCTGGGTAGACAAGCTAAATTCCTACGAATCATATGCGTATTTCTGCATGAGCTCCTTTAAACGATCCAGAGGCAATTCCTCAACTGTGTGTCCCAAAAAGCCCTTCAAGGTCTCGGCCGAAGACAAGGCGTTGTAGATGCTCTCCTCCGTCGCATCCGCCGCCGCCTCCAGAAGCGCATTGATACTCGTGTCGTCAACCGACTCAACCTTGAGCGCCTTGGCCTTGAACGGGTCCACCTCCTGCGTCTCCGTCGTCAGCGTCTGCACGGGAATGCGATTGCCCGTAGAGAAGGCGAGGAAGATGTCGCCCGAGGGGTTATGCCCGTAGCCGCCGACCCGCGCCAGCCCGACGGTGGCCCTCTTGGCGAGCCTCTGGCACTGGATGGGCGTCAGGGGCGCGTCGGTGGCGATGGTGACGATGATGGAGCCGTCCTTCTTGTCCTTGTGCGCCATGACCTCGGCCAGCGTGTCCTTCTTCTCCTTTGCGAGAGTGCGGCCGACGGGGAAGCCGCCGATGCGGAGGTGGGCCGCCCTGCCGTAGTTAGCCTGCACGAGGGCGGCGACGGTGTAGCTCGTCTCCTTGCCCTCGCTGTCGATCCCGGGCACGACGCGGGACGAGGATCCGGTGCCGCCCTTGAACCAGTGGCAGATCATGCCCGTGCCGCCGCCCGTGTTGCCCTCGGGCACGGGGTCGTCCGTCACGGACTCGATTCCCTTTGCGACGTGTGCGGATGTGACAGCCAATTTGGAGATGTCGTTGAGGAACCCGTCAAAGGTCTCGCCGACGACGGGTAGCAGGAACCATTCGATTTCCCCGTTCTCGTTGGAGTAATGCTTGATGGCGTACTCGTAGATGCCGCGGTACGCGTCGCCCACCGAGAAGGAGTTGGTTAACACGATGGGGCTGGCGAGGAGACCAGTCTCCTCAATCCAGTGGGATCCGGTCAGCTCTCCGGAGCCGTTGAATCGGAAGATGCCGGCGTAGCAGGCCTCCTTGAACCATTCCTGGCGGGGGAGGATGACTGTTACGCCCGTGTTGACTCCCTCCTCTGTGCGGATGCTCTGCGTTGAGGCGAGGACGCCGGGAACATCGGTAATGGAGTTCTTGGGTCCCGCCGGCCATCTTCCGAGGTCGAGGTTGGGTAGGACATCGCGGATGCGGCCGCGAGGAGTTGATTGTGTAGCCATCTCGTGGAATCAGTTGAGTTGCTTTAGAGTGGAAGTTGAAAGTGAGAAGTCAGACAACTCTGTTCTTATGGTTCCAGTTATAGAGCCGCAACCACAGTCTTTATACATCTTCGCAATCGTAGAAGCATCGTGGTCAGCAAACGTAAGTGGCGTGTCGCAATATTGTAAACGTTCAAGTTCCATTTTCTTTCTTCGCCGATGAAGGATCGAATAGCATCCACCAATTGACTTAGGCCGCATCAGCATAAGAGGATATCATCATGGATCCATTGGCCAATTGCGTCGTCGAACGAAGTCCGAGCCAGAACTTTTACGAATGCCTGGAGATCGCGCGTGGTTTCAATTCTTTCGGCCAGCTTCTTTGGGCAGGTGGATTTGGTACAAGTGGCGCCGCTACCTCACTGTGGACGTAACTCCGCTTACGTTGCGGTGTCAGCGCGGGCTAACCATCCGTGTGTACTCGCGTTTCTGACGTTCAATGCTGACGGTGTTTAAATCCCTCCATGGGCCGTCGACAGCAGCCTAGAACCAGGCATCTTTCAAAGATAAATACTGTACTCAATGGGCCCAAAGTAAGGTGATGAATCAATGCGGACGGAAAAGGGAGGTAATCAGGTACATGTACCTCGGCAAACGGGCCCCACACACAGATCGCTCGGCCGGCAAGTGGGGTCCGAATGCGGGGAAGCTGCTCCAACCCCCGGAGTGACCATCATTACCAAGCTCCCTGTCCAGTCTGAGAGCCCTGTGCGGAGGAGGCGCGGGACTTCGAATCCGACATCGCTTTCTCTCACATAGCATTGCAGCAGCTTCATCACACACCTTCTCTCCTGTTTACTCACATCTTGCGTAGAGTGAAGCGTCCTATCAGCCGTCACCTTGTAGACTATCCGGTGCAACCATTCCATTGACCGCTCACATATTCTTTCACAATTAACCATGACGCCCTCACTTCGGGTCATCCCCAACGTAAGCAGTTGCTCCCCTCTCGAGACAGATCCCTCACTCACACAAGATCACAGGCGGCGTCTCGTGCCGTATCCCTCTTGCGGACAATCCAGGCACATCCGCCATCATGCCCCTGCCATACCAACCCCGGCCATCACCACCACCACAACCCTTTGAACTTCACACCGAGGCCCCTCCGGACGAGCAACAAACGCGGCTATGCCACCCCCGTAGACGGCCCGCAGAAGGAGTACGCTTTTGAGATGGCCGCCTCCTCCATCCGCTTCGGCCCCGGCTCCACGCAAGAGGTCGGCATGGACTTTGCCAACATGGGCGCCAAGCGCGTGGCCGTCGTCACAGACCCCGTCGTCGACGGCCTCTTCGCCATGCAGCAGGTCCGCGAAGCCCTCGACCGCGAGGGCATCAACTACAAGGTCTACAACCAGACCCGCGTAGAGCCCAAGGACAGCAGCATCCGCGAGGCCATCGACTGGGCCCGTCCCTTTGCGCCCGACGCCTTCCTCGCTGTCGGCGGCGGCTCCGTCATCGACACCGCCAAGCTGATGAACCTGTACTCGTGCTACCCCGAGGCTCCCTTCCTCGACTTCGTCAACGCGCCCCTCGGCAACGGACGCCCCGTGGACAAGGCCTTGAAGCCGCTGATTGCCGTGCCCACCACCGCGGGAACGGGCTCCGAGACCACGGGCACCGCCATCTTCGACCTAGTTTCCAAGCGCGCCAAGACGGGCGTCGCTCATCGCAACCTGAAGCCCACTCTCGGAATCTGTGACCCGCTCAACACCCGCACGATGCCCTCGGCCGTGAAAGCCGCCTCCGGGCTTGACGTACTTTGCCACTCCCTGGAATCGTGGACGGCGATCCCCTACCACGAGCGTACGCCCCGGCCCAAGAACCCCATTTTGAGACCCGCGTACCAGGGCGCCAACCCCATTAGTGACGTCTTCTCGTTCCATGCGCTGAGAGCCACGGTGAAGTACCTGCCCCGTGCCGTCAAGAACCCCGACGACTATGAGGCGCAAAGCGAGATGCTGCTCGCCGCGACTCTCGCCGGTGTCGGTTTCGGCAATGCCGGCGTCCATCTCTGCCACGGTACGTTCCTCAAAGTACACCCCTTACGAAAATTCCTCCCCTAACGTGAGATAACACAGGCATGTCATACCCCATCTCGGGCCAGAACCCGGGCTACCAGCACGCGGGATACAAGGTCTCCTACCCCATCATCCCGCACGGGGTTTCCGTGGCCGTCACAGCGCCCGCCGTCTTCCGCTTCACGGGCGCCTCCAACCCTGAGCGTCATCTCCAGGCGGCCGAGGCTTTTGGCGTCGACGTCTCGCGCGTGCGCAAGGAGGACGCTGGAAAGGTCCTGGCCGACGCGCTGACCAAGTTCTTGGCGGACCTGGGTGATCAGCCGGCCGGTATCAAGGAATTGGGCTTCGGTACGGAACACCTGGACGACCTTGTCGAGGGTACGATTCCGCAGGCTAGAGTGTTGATGCTGGCGCCTGGGCTGGAGACGGAGTTGCAGAAGGAGAGGGAGCAGCTGAGGGGTTTGTTTGAAGCTTCTTTGGTGCACTCATAAAGTCTGGGACTGGTGAACCGTGTGTACTGTGCAGTGATTGGGGCCAGGATATAATCATGGAACTAAAAAGAAATTGAGTAATTCAGGTAGTAAGCAATCACCTTTTTGCATTGTTTTCTCGTTTTTTGTCTTTGGGTCGATGATTTTTGGCATCAGTCCCTCATCTGTCTTACGTTGAGGTTGATCCTCTTGTTCTGCATCCAGCCCTTCCACTCTTGGTACTTTCCATCTTCTGCCGGCCAGTCAGCCAAGTAATCAGGGCAAGTACCCTTCATGACCTTGGGCACGCCGTGCCACGCAAACCGTGAGTCCTTGGTCATGTAGATGGCGTCGCCGGAGCGGATGCGGAGAAGCAGGTACTCCTTCCCCGTCGCCCTCGCCTCGTCCGAGATCTTGTCCGGCTCGTTGGGCGCAATCATGAAGAGGCCGTCGCAGCCGAAGCTCAGGCTGACGAGACCCTTGTCCGTCTCCTCGCTGACGTCGCGGTGCATCATCATCGTGTCACCGGGCGTGTAGAAGTTGACGATGGCGGCCTGGGCCAGGGTCTCGGGGAAGATGGTCTCGAGAAAGTTGGCAATGTCGGACGGGAACTGTGGCGGGCGCTCTTCTGGGTAGATGCGGTTCGTCCAGTCGTACTGGCCGCCTAGCGTGACCCAGTGAAGACGGCGCTCCATGACCTGCTTGATCGATAGAGGCTTGTGGACGGAGGGGTCCTTTGGGGTGAATATGGGCGTTGGCTCGGGCGGGTATGAGAAGAAGGATTCGGCGGATCCGTCTTGGGCCTTTGGGTAGGGGAGGTCATAGTGCAGGTGAAGATTGGTTTGGTGTGTTGGGACGCTGAGATCTCGGTTGATCATCAATGAGAGCAGGGTCTTTTGTACTTCTGGAGGAACCAAATCCGGTACTATGAGGAGGCCTTTAGCGGATTTGTTAGAAAATATTCTACGTCTTGAGTTATCTCGTTTCGGGCATCTACCTGGCAGAAGTGGGTGATATAAGATGGGAACTTCTTTGAGTGACGAGGTATCGACGGCATGCGGGCCCAAGTGTGAGAAAGCAGCGGCTAGCTGCTCAACGGAAATCTTGCCAGCCTGTGAGAATTTCCCGGCTTGTTCTGTAGATCTCGG